TTTCAGCAGCAGCTGACTTGGGGACGCCTGGGGTTCTTAAGTTGATTCTGTATGTAAGTCAGTACTGGCGGTCAGTTTCAGCAGTGTCTGAATCTGGACACCAGTTCCGACTTACATACAGATTCAACTCAGGAACAAACCTACAGTCCCTATCTTGTACGTAACCCGGGGACTGCCTGTATTCCAAAAGTAGTAGTGTTAGTGAAAAAAGTTGTGGATTCTAGAGTCTAGAATTAATTTCCTTTCATACTGAATAGGGGGTACAGGAAGGTTTACTAAAAGCCAAGGAGGTACGAGGACCGAAAAAGGTGGGGACCCCTGCTCTATTGTCATAATCTGTATCTAAAAGGTATTATATATAATTTAAAAACTGGTGACACACTGGTGATTAATACTCCTGTGAAATGTATATATTCATATTGTATAAGGAATTATGAATATTCACTGATATTATGCTTTTAAGTCTGTGACCACACTAAGGGAGAAAGAGATTTTCTTCCAGACAGGAGGGAAGGCAGCTATTTAGTAAATTAAGCTAAAGTTGTGACCAAAGTCACTTGTAAATGTGCTTTTTCATTAAGGCAAACAAAGCCATAAGGAGAGCATGTGGAGAAAGATGACCACTTAATCTCATTGGGGGATGGAGAATGTACTCCCAAGAAATCCTCGTGCTTCCTGAAGAAAGGTCAATGAATTTTGGGAAGATAGAGAGAAAAAGGAAAAGATGTTTTGGTATCCTTCATCAGGAGAGACAGAATAACTGAGCACTTTGAGGGATCTTGGCCAAAAAATATGGTCAGCAATGCTGGAAGAGACTGGATTATAAACATTTCTTTGAAGAAGAGAATCAAGACTTAGTCTTAGAATCACATTTTCACTGAGTTTGCTTGTAATTCTTTCTATTTTTAGTCCTTCTACTTAGTATCACTTAAACCTGTCTTTTAGTTAAATAAACTTATTTTACTTTTACTATAAACTAAGTGACTGCATTCATTAAAATAGTGTTTGCTAATCCCAGTTAAGGGGGTAAACTGCTGAATACTCCTCTATAAGGGAGCACTGAATTTAACTTTTGTTATGTGTTCAGTAAGCTCTACAGGTCACGTGATTTAGGGGAAATTTGGGAGTGTATGAGTGTTGGGGTCACCCTGACAGGAGTAACCAAGGTTGGTGGAAGCCAGAGTGAGGTTATTGTACTTTGAGCATGTTGCTGGTGTCTGAGCTCTGAAGGAAGGCTGCACAGTACAGAGTGCTCAGGGCTATAGGGCAGACAGTGACAATCCCTTACTGGTCAGGGTTGGACCTAAAGTGGCACAGTAGTTCAGAAATCAAAATGTATCCTTGTCTAAAGATGCTGAAAATCACTGGATTTAAACTTCTTCTTCTGCAATCATGTGGTACATTAGGGACAAGTCCTGCAAACCTTTATTTAGGCAGGCAAACAGTCCCATTATAAAATAAGATTATTCACTGAAATTATTAACTGGAATGAGAACTATTCACCTGGTGAAGAGTTTGTAGTATCAGGCTCCTAAGCAATGACAAGATTGGATATTTTGAAATACCATAAAAACCTTTATTTTATAGTGATTTAC